CAAATGTATGAAATTGTAGACATTAGTGGTAAAAAATGGGACTATTACATGATAAGGATTTAGAGAAAACAAGTACAAATCTATTATTTACTTAAAAATAGATTTGAACTATTCAAAATTTATTAATAAAAATTTAACGTTATACTTAATGGTAAAAGAGTAAAATTACTATGCGATGAAAATTTTAAAAATTATTATGTTAACCTTGAATATTTCTTAAAATATTATATCAGTTTTTGTTAATGATAGAGATGTACATAAGATGGCTCGAATATTATCGTCATAAACAAGTTCAAAACTTTTTCCTTAAGAAGTCTCTGGATACCCTTCTCCTCGCAGCCTCTTTTCCAGATTGCTATGGATTTTTATTTTTTTTTGTCGAAAATCTAAATCTATAGGCGGAGACCCTTTTCCCATGTAGATCCAAGAAAATTTCTGCTCTGCCTTATATATATTGCGGATGGTTTTCACCTTGCAAAACGATGGATAATCTGTCGGCTTCCAATACTATACCTTGATGAATGCTAATGCATGTTGAGGAACTCTCCAGATTCTGCATCTCGAATTGCTCAAATAGTTGAGATGCAACTGACTTTCACCTGTTTTTTTGCTTCTTCTGAGCATTATTTTCATGAAGAGAGAGAGAGGAAGCTCAAACCAGCCTATTTCTCTATGATAGAAGAGCCTCGGAGGTATTGCAAAATTAGCAGCCTCTTTGAAAGATTAAATGTACGTGTTTTCTATGCAGGGGCGGCCCAACCATAAAGCAAGTGAAACACTTGCTTTAGGCCTCAAAAATTTAAGGGCCCCAAAATTACTAGTATTCTTTATATATAGTAGTATATTATTTATATAATTATCTTTTATTATTGATAAATTTATTTCTTTATTGTCATATTAATTTTTAATAACTCGATTTCTTCCTGTAATTAATATAACTTNATATATATATATTAAGGCCTCTTATTAAGATTTTGCTTTAGGCCTCTGGTGAGGTTGGGCCGTCCATGTTTCTATGGTGGTGAAGCAGATTTGGTTGTGTCCTTTTGGGTATTTTATCTCGGTCTTCAGCCAAGTCACATGATTCTTGTCGAGCAATGCAACTTTGTAGCACCCCTTGGCATATTTTAGTTTGGGAAATTACGGCGAAACAACAAACAACAACAACAATTCAGTATAATCTCACTAGTGGGATATGGGGAGGGTAGTGTGTACGTAGACCTTACCCCTACCCTGGGGTAGAGGCTGTTTCCGATAGACCCTCGGCTTCCTCCCACCAATAACTCTCCGCCTTACTCTTGAGGTGACTCGAACTCACAACCTTTTGGTTGGAAGTGGAGTGTGCTCCGCTAGAGCAACTCACTGTTGTCTAAAATTATGGCGAAACAAATCCTAGAAAAAAGTTGGAAAAAACAAAGGAAAAAAACACGACCAATGTTCATTATTCTTTAAGAAACAGAAAATTATCCTGCTGGTGGCGGCGCGCTGGCTACCGAAATTGGATCCGGTTCTGGATTCGGCGGCCTCTCACGCGTAAGTGGTCTTAACTCCCCTCCTTCGATCCATGTATCTCTAATTTGCTTATGTATTCGATTGGAAAGAGCCTGTAATTGTGCCATCGTCTGCACGCAAAAAATGAAATTACCTGTAATTCTTTAAGCCATTTTTATACTTTGAAGATTCGTAAAAAATATTGACCCACTTCTTACTATGTGGAAAAGAACGCTACGCATTCCACACACACAAAAAAAACTTTTTCCTTGTATCCTTTGCCTTCTTGTTTTTCTTATTTTGTGGCATGATCATTAGTTCATCTTTTGCAAATCAACAGACTTTGAGTAGAAAAGAATGCAAGTGCAGTAATTCTCTTTTGTATCAAAATTTCAGTGTCAATGGTCAATCAAAAGTCTTTGAACTCTACTGAAGATGAACAAACTTTGAAAGCTATATCTACTACGAATGGGCTTAATACTGGTTACAAATATCAGTCTTATCAAATCCAGGTTATGTTACAAATGTATGAGGTGCCTTTTCACTCTCTACTTCCCTCTAGCAAAGAAATGACAATTTGAAAAATTACGAAAATATAGATTTAAACAGGCGGATTAAGGGAATTATTGATGAGGAGAAATGCTTATTCTTTACTGATTTAGATATATTGGTCGATCTTTGTATCAATTAGGTATTATTTTATCTCATACTGAGGGTAGAATAATTAATCCGGGAATAAATACTAAAATGACAAAGATACTCGTCTCCAAGGCTCTTCCCCCAAAGTCTTTTAAATTATCCGAGGTTAAAATTAAAAATAAAAATAAATATTTATCCTGACTTATCTAGTATACACCAAACACATGATTATATTATGCTCCATATATTGTATTTTTAGTCCAATGAACCAAACATAAAAGAAGGCCGGATCCTTCTATGCAAGGGGTAGTGAAAAAAAGAAATCATCAAATGTTTGAACGTTAGTGTTATCTACCTAATTCTAGATAGCTAATGGGTGAGCCCAGTTCAACAGTGTTGTAAAAAATAGTGGTCTAACAGTGATGCCAAATGAGAAGAACAAGCTTATTCCAATGCGAACGATGATCGGGTAGAGAGTGTGCATGGATTACCGGAAATTAAACAATGCAACCTGAAAGGCTGAAAGGACCACTTCTCCTACCTTTCATGGATCAATGCTTGATAGGTAAGCGGGGAGAGATTTTTATTGCTTCTTGGATGGCTATTTGGACTACAACAACAACAACAACCTGGGGAGGGTAGTGTGTACGCAGACCTTACCCCTACTATGAGGTAGAGAGGTTGTTTCCAATAGACCCTCGGCATCCTTCTCTTCAAGAACTCCCCACCTTACTCTTGGGGTGACTCGAACTCACAACCTCTTGGTTGGAAGTGGAGATTGCTTACTATCAGAGCAACCCCTCTTGTCTAAAGATCAAATACAAATAGCCCCCAAAGATCAAGAGAAGACCACCTTCACGTGTCTATTTTCTAATAAAAATCTATTCACTAAATAATCCTGTCATTACTATAATCTCAGTATTATATTCCTGGGATAACTTGTGCCCCTACCAAACAATCTCTTAATTCCTAGTGGATGAGTAGGTTTATATTTTCTTTTAAACTAGACGTGCTAAAACTTAAATTTTGTGGAAAACGAGTTGCATAGTCGAGGGGATATTTTGTGTTTGGTTTTAAAAAGAAATATTAATTTCCTGTAAAAACCGATAGTGGAGGGTTTGAATGTTAAAAGTTTGATCTCTCAGGGGTGACATATATAGTTATATGCTAGAATAAATTTTCATACATATACATTGGAGAAGTTGAAGTATAAATAGTTGGAGTAAACAATATGCATGACCACATTCTTTCTAAATACTACAAATAAGACGAGAGTAAGCTCGATAATTTCATCTCATAAAGGTAGTGCGATAATATTGTCAACTTTGAATTGGCTATTGTATAGAATCAAGTCGAACGCAGGTGTGCGCTAAAGAAATCAATGGCAATCTTGGTCCTATTAAAAATACCAGTGAAGATCCAAATTGAAAAGTGAAAAATATTCATAATTTGAGGAATAGTAACAATTCTAGTTGCATTAATGTTCATTAGTTACTCGGGGTTAAAGACATTCGAAATTTTATTTTTGATAATACTTTTTTAGTTAGTGATAGGATTGGAGACAATTATAACACTTTTTTAGTTAGTGATAGGAACGGAGACAATTATTCCATCTATTATAATATTGAAAATCAGATTTTTGAGATTGACAACGATCATTTACCATTTCGTGTTGATACCAAATAATTTAATCCCAACTAGTTGATTATATAATACCATTTACCGTTTAATTAACTAGTTTAATCCCAACTAACTGATTGTGGGATTGTTTGCTTTTTTATTAGTTAAATCTGTATTAGTTTCAAGAGATTTTCGGTCTTTTGGGGCAACTTTCCTCTATTTGATTGATGTACATCTTATATCGTCAGTGTCACATTTATAGTTTGATGCATCTGAAGTCTACCTAAGACATGGTCAAACTATCTCAAACGATTTTTTTTTTCTTCTTTTTTGTTTTTTGTGCGTTAATTGCACCTCTTGTCGAACGTGATCATTTATAATCTTCTCAAATCTTGTATCATCTGTTATCTAACTTAACTTTTATAAATGACCTAAATATTTAGTATCCATTCATAACAAATTTCCCCTTTTCTCATTGATCCAAATCCCAGCCACCCAACCCCAACAAATGAACGTGAATAAAGAAGATAATGAATTAGAGAGTGCTTAGACTTCCGATCTATAAATTCTTATTGGTTCTATTTTCCTACAATGTTTTGATAGGATTATTTTCTAGAATCTGAAAATGATTGACTTAATAGGGAAAAACATCAAACTAATAGAGGAAATGTTATAGATACTTATATTACTACTTACACTAAAACTACCTTCTTTTTTTAGCACAGAGAATCTTCTTTTATTCACTAAATTCTATTGGTCTCATTTGTTTAAATATTTGATAATAGGTATTATTGATTACATAAAGAAGCTATCCTTCTTTGGAAAAAATAACTGCAATGCAAAAGTTTAAGGAAACAGAAACAAAAGAGCGTACGCCTCAGTACAAATTTAGTTGAGATTGACTATATAAATCCTCGATATCATAAATGTTATGTTTGAATAATAATAATTAAATACTCCGTACCTGAGGATTATCTAACAGTAGAGGTTCTCTAATATACTCTAGTGGTTGTATCTCTAATATACTAAGTGGTCATTTGGTAGGGTGTATAAGAACAGTACTAAAAAGGGTGTATATGTATTGTTGAGATTAGTAATGCTAGGAGTTGTTATGCTGAGATTATTTCTTATCGACTGTTTGATTTAGTATACTAAAGGTTTTGAAAGGGCAATTCTGTCTTTGTACATGCTGATCCATTTAATAAAAACCATGGTATTGAATGCCATGGATTGCTATGTATAAGAATAGTACTAAATAAGGTGTATAACTAATAGTTATACATAGGTTGAAAAAAACTACCAAACAAGGGAATAATAATACCAAAGCTAATACATGTATTATTTTCCCTAATATATCCTACCAAACGACCCCTAAGAATTCATGTCGAAAATCTACTGCCATCTGACCACTGACTACCTCAAGCAGCACTATACAAAAGCTATAAACATCAGCCATTCTTGTTGTTTCACCAATCCATATGACCTGCTGACATAACACCACCAACAACAAACCCAGTGTAATCTCACAAGTGAGCTCTGGGGAAGGTAATGTGTACGCAGACCTTACCCCTACCTTGTGAAGGTAAAGAGATTGTTTTCGATAGACCCTCGGCTCATATGCCATGCTGACATGTAACCAAAAATTCCTCAAACTGATCTGTTTTTATCAACATGATGGCCATGCTCATTTCTAGTCAAGAATTCAGCAAGAGCAAAGAAACCAAGCCTTGGATTCATATCTGGATAGATAATGATGGCAGATAATGTGATGCATGTAGGACTTGTTCATCTCATTCCCTCGTGCAGATATCGAATCGCAGAGGTAAGTGATTTGAGTAGATTATACAGATGTCGCCATCCTAGGAAGGAGGCATTGTTCCTAGGATTCTGATGGAAAAGGAGGTGGCTTAGAAGACTGCTTGAGACCAACAACATGCATTTCTGAAGTTCTGTATGAAGACCATCCGCGGAGTTGTCCCAAGTTCCGAAGTTCATTTGAGAACCTCACTCTTAAGCTATTATCTCTTGAATAATAATGCCCATGTTCATATTTTCCACAAGTTCTAGTGCAACTTCAGCTCAACTTTTGTACACCGGAACTTTGAGGTAGTAATCCATCTTGACGTAAGAATGAAGCAACCGTTTAATCTTCAAACCAAAAGATGTTAGATGAACAGAAAACAAGAATCCAGTACTGATTATAGAAAATAAAGCCAACAATTCCACATAACTACCTTCTCTGGATCCAGCATAAGACCAAATCATATTGCAATGACTATACAAGTCCTTTTCTAGCCCGACTCCTGTGACTCCATGATAGCCGGTCAACAACAACATACCCAGTGTAGTCCCACAAGTGGGGACTGGGGAGGGTAGTATGTACGCAGACTTTACCCCTACCTTTAAGACGGTAGACCCTCGGCTCAGGCCATGATAGCCGGTCAGTCAGCAAAAAATGTTTAAGCTTGACTGGCCAAACTGTCTAATAAGAGATATTGTGACCAATATCAAGAGCCATAAACTGTGCAGGTCTTGTTGAATTATCCAGAAAGATCCTGAAATGACATCGAGGTAAAAGTACAATAGCTGATACAAAACACCAGCAAAGTCACAGATAAGGCACACGACTACTTTTATCTTCGACAAGTATAGGCTTCCATGTCAACATTAAAGAATGGATGAACAACGCATTTACTTCCTTGTAGCCAAATAAAAGAAGAGTACTGCAAAGGCCGATATTGTTCTAATTTTTTTTTAATAATGCAGCTACATGCTATGCCTTCACCTTATAATGTTTAATAGCAACTTGTAGCATGTTTAAGAATTATCTCATAGTGACTTGGGCATGTCTAGTAAAAGAAAAGTTTCTCAAAAGGATAAATAATTCGAAAGTGTCCGCTTGGATAAGAAGACCTAAAACACCAAGCAAGGGAAGAAGGTTGGTAACAAAAAGGGAGTCTTTCTTAGCTAGTTAAGTCTGCATGAACAATGCACTTGCCGCAGCACATTTTCTTGACCCTTCAAAACATGATTATTGAAATCTAGTCTTTGATCGAACTACTTATTAGTTATTGGACGGAATTTCACTTAAAGCTCGGTCCCACAAGATCTAAGAACCAGCTGCTTTTCAAGATAAATCAAGCAAGTTATAAATATAATCCTGACAGTGCATCTAATATCTTATCTGGAATTCTAGAGACATTGAAGACTAGTATAAAGACAATTAACTATTTTTCAATCCAAGTGTAAAAAAATCTTTCAGAGACCAGATAGAACTAGATAAGAATTCGGCCAACTAGCAAGACATCTCCAATTTGTGTGGTTTAGCTGATAAGTGTCATTTAGCGAGTCTTGGAAACAGAGATGGGGAAATCTCGCAAAATGCATAGATAATACTTAGCAGCAACAGTTATAAGGAATAGAAACATACTTGGAGCAAATATTATGGTGATAAAGTCTTACCCAAAACCTTGCTCATTTCAAGTGAAAGGATTCTGACTTTCTGACAAATTTTGCTACTTTGAAATGTCTCGAGGTGCTGAACATCTTCTGCATATTATCTACGCCAGCCAAGTTCTCACACTAGCCATACATCACAAGTTCTTGAAGAAACTGTATTATACTATTCAGGTTTCCGTGATAGGAAAAAGTATTTCTTTCTTTTGCGGGTAACAACGTAAGAAAGTAACAAGTAGTATGGAGACTGGCATTTGCTTTCAATTCTAAATTAGCTGGGTTTAGCTATTCTTTCCTTTTGAAGAGGATAATGATATAAAATCTTCTAAGAATGGAATACCTAACCATTAATAAATTTCAGTGGCTGAGTACATTATTTCCAAACCCTGTTAATAGAAGAAAGATCTAACAAACAGAAAGCAGAAGTAAAAGACATACGATAAACAGGAAGCAGGATAAGAATAGCAACATCAGAGACAAAAACGGAAATGATATTTGCATACCAAAAAGACATGGAAATAATTTGAATAAGATGTATGGCTACTCATTAATATAAAAAATTCTATCCTATGAACTATTAAACCAGCTTATTCCAATAACTCTCTATAATTCTAGCTAAACTACTCTAAAACAATTAACTTCTATTTGATGTATGATTTCGAACACTAGCAAGGAGTCTTGTAAGTTTACTGAGAGTTTCATGAGCAGATATGGTGTCGGGATGGTCCTCGCCGCAGATTGAAGTTCTAATGAAAATAGCCTTCCTGATTAAATCATCACCGATATCAAACTGTCCACCTCTTAACATTAATTTTGCCCTGATCTCGAGCACCGTCGCTCTTGATAAAGCAAGTTCCTGCCAAAGGCAAGGATTTAATTGAGCATTTGTCTGGATAGGTCTCCAACAAAGTGATTTATCCAACCACTTGTCAACAGGAGTGACAAATGCTTGATCTGCCGCTTCTAATGCATCTGTACAACGTCGTAGAAGTTCTAGAGCAGCACTACAGCGTGAGAATGTGATAAATGTTCGAATGGCAAGTGGTAGAATCACTTCTTTCACGAGAAACAGCAATTCAGAAACTTTAAGCTCAACTATCATCGGGTCACTCCCAAATCCGAAGAGCAAAAAGCATGCTGCCCATATGTGTTCAGAGTGCTGGGCTATTAAACCGCGACTAACAACAGCTTGTACTGTGGCTTGTGCAACTCCGATGACCCCTCTTTTTCGAGCATACATTCTGATAAGCTGGTGGAACTGAATGTAGCCTTCCTTTCTACAAGTCCTTGCTATGTTGAATCTCAACAAAAGAGAAGATGCTTCTGCCTCTGATTTCCTAGCATATGATGATGAGAAACCACAAGTTAAAGAACATAAAACTTTCTTCAACATCCTCCTTCGTGGGTATTTCTCCGGTATCTTGTGAGCAGCCAGAGCTAATAGAGAAACTGGAATAGATGATGGAGCAAACCAACCGGTTGCGAGAACCATTCTTGTTGCTAGACTTCTTGGTCCATCAGCATGGTCAAATATCGAGAAACAAACTTCAAAAAGTTGCAAAAGAAAATTGTTTCGCCTCAGTGGATGGTTTTCCCGACGAATCGAGATTATTTCCTTCAAAGGCATACGGTTGATGGTATCCAAGAGCCTGCTAGGATTTATAGGAAGTTCAGAAAGAATAGCTCCAACAATAGCAAGGCCAAGTGTCAGTCTTTTAAGTTTTTCCTCAATAACTCGCAAAGCATCAATTTCAGCAATCGGGTAATCCTTCACAGCGCCCTGCATCAAAGACATTGCCTCAATCTCTGACAGATAATTAAGTTTGATTGGATCCATGTTCATCACCCGAGAGAGACGCGTGGATATGAGAACATGTGTTTCACCCCCAAAACGGGGAAGCAAATCCATTATAAGTTTGTGGTCCCACCAGTCCTTTTCACTCTCCAAGTTATCAATTACCAGCAAGAACGGAATGTCTCGCATAAGTTCTTTCCTAACCCTAGCTACAGCAGCCTCTTCTTGCTCTTCAAAGCTCTTTATCCTGCTTTTTTCAGGTGAGCTTTCTACCCCCACATCAATTTCTAAAAACGACCACAAGTTCAAGTAGTTTTGTCGAATGTATCTGCTTTCACCTCCAATCCAAAGGACCATCTTGTAGCGCTGATGGAATTGATATGCATACTCGAGCAGTAGCTCTGTCTTGCCAATTCCTGGCTCCCCAGATACACAAGCAATGCCCTTTCCATAGACAACTTTCAAGGATCTGCTTCGCTTTCCTTGCTTCCTAGTATTCATTTGCTTTGGTGTATGCTGCTGAGTATGAGAAACCTCAACATTTAGCATTTCAATCTCTTTCTCAGATTCCTTCCATGTCATTGGCTCTTTACCTTTCTTCTTGCTGTCACTAGGCCGCTCAAATCGTCTTTCATTGATCGAGTTGCTCCGACTCCAACTAATTGTCACGTTCTTCCGCTTGGGTCTAGCCTTTAGTTCAATATAGTCTTTCTCTGCATCCCCGCTAACATCACCAAAAAGCCGAAACTCGAGCTCGGACAGCTCCTTCTTTCTACCAACAAAATTTTCATTTCGAGGGAAAGGAAACTCCTCCTTTTCTGCCTTCTCCCTCCATTTGGACAGTCTGTCCACAACACTTCGCCTCCCTAACCTTAATGCCAATAGGGTTACAGCCCTCAATATGCATTCCCTCCACCTGCCATCATGAGCCTCTAGTTTCCATTCATCGACACGCAAAAGACCATTGACGGCATCTCTCCACTCCTTCTCCAATCCCCCATATAGAAGCCAAAGTTCACCACCATGTTTTTCCCAGTGCTCTCCTCTTCTCTCAATTATATCTCGAACAAGGCAATCCTCTGGACGCAAATCGAAGTACACAGGCACCAAATTCTTTTTGCTAGAGAAGAAGCGCAGCTCCTCTATGGTATATGGATTCCTGAACGATTTCTTTGTTAAGATCACAACTCCGTATGTACAAGCATCCATTACTCTCTCAACCATGCCATGTTTTCTGGAATTTCGGCACCTCGCTCTGTCAGAAACGAAGCAACTTAGCCCTTGGATTTCTAACTCAGCACGGAGCCAATTCATGAATCTGAGCAGTAAAGGTTTGCGGCCATGAAAACCAATGTACACATCACAGCTCCTCACTCTGTTGGATAAGGAGGAAGTTGATGTTGGAGTAACACAAGTTTCCTGTGTTCTCCCACTCTTTTTCTGCTTGCCTCTAGGTCGCAAATATTCATGTTCTGGGCCAATGTTATAACTCGCTATAGTGCTCTTAGAAATTGACGTCGAAGAAGACGCAAAATCCAACTTCTGAAGATCATTAACTGCACTAGCTAACGCAACGGGATAAGCATCCGACAACCTGGCATTTGCAAATGATTCTGGACCCGGAATGCCCAAACTAGCATCTAAGGCACCAGAAGTAACATCGCTATCACGAAATTGATTATCCGAATATGTTGATATCAGGGACTTGGGTGACCTGGGAGAGAAGAAGGGCGACTGGTTCGCAGAAAAGAAGGTTGAAGATGACGAAGATAAGTTTCTTGACGTCGTGCTTGGTAATGAGCCAAATCTGGAGCTTTCATCCCGGAGATCCATATTTAAAGCTACCACTCACTCCCATACACAAGAAAATTCAGGGACTCCAGGATAACAAATAACCTCTGAAATTGGAAAATATCAAAATGTCAGTGAAGGGACAATCTCCTCGTGTAAAACTGCTAACTATATGCAGCCACAAGCACAAAGGTCTGCATAATTTTTAAACTAGGTTTTCCAAATGAAGATTGCTTTATTTTTTCAAATGAAGGATACCATACTGAAAATAGGGAATTAGTTAAAATAATGCCATATCTAGATTAACGTAAAAGCATTAATGACTTATACTGTTTTGTCATTTGGCTCAAGAATCCTTATTTAGCAATCAAAGAAAGATAATTAATGCTGTACTAGAACAGCAAAACCTAGAGAGGAAACAAAGAGCCTTTCTAAATCTGCCGCATTAGATCTGGCGAAGAATTTAAAACCACAAAGTAATTTCTTAAAACAAACCAATTTGCCAATTCAATAATCCAAGCCTCTAATTTTACAAGAACTCAGATCCAACATACTTACTTGAACCACAGTCATCAATAATGGTGTCCAAAGATTCAATCTTTTTCACTTCAATCAACCAAAAAGAGCATTCTTTTGAACCAAAGATTCAATCTTTTCACCTCAATCAACCCAAAAGGGCATTCTTTTGAACCAATCTTAATCCAAATAAAATAGAAATCTAAGTGGCAACCACAATCAATATATCTTCTTGAACCTGTCAAAATAATATAAACTATAAGTCTGAATATTCAAACACATCAACTACCCAAAAAAATATTTTAAAATGTATATACATATAACAAACACATACTATTACTTACTTGGACATGGATCAAGAAGTCGCATAGAGGAAAGTAAGTTCAATATTAGCAATACACAACAATGGAGCAGAGAACTAAGAGAGAGAGAGAGAGAGAAAATTTGAAAAACAATGGGAAGGGAGTGACAAATGAGTAAAGATTTGATTGATGGAAAAATGGGTTTACCTTTTCAAGAATAACTAAAAGGGTTCAGTTTTGATATGACAATGAAGCTGTTTCTTTCTTTCCTTATATTTTTTCTTCTTTTCTTGTTTTTACTAAGACACCAACTTCACTTAAAGTTGTACATAGAACTTTAAAAGCTCCCTCTTTTTCACACTACCCCTTGTTACCAACTAGTTCATATTTAGTACATAGGTATGTGTAAAAACTACATAAAACTTATAAAAATCTGTTTTTTCTGTGTCTTATTTTTTTTTCCAGAGGGTACTGAGAATATGGGCTGACAAGAATAAAGGAGCACCGTTAGAGACGGGGAAGGGTTCTTTCTTCTACTGTACTAGTGCTGCTATGTTTCTTGATTGTTGGAGTGGGGTGGGGGTAGGCGGAGTGTCAGGGGGGTGGGGTTTGACAAAAATGGGACCCAACAAGAAAGGACGGATCTGACGAGGAATGGTGCTGCTGTCAAAAAGCTTTCTTTCCAAAGTCCACACTTTGGATTTACAACTATAGTACTGCTCCTAGTACATGTATCACAAACCACCACCACCTTTTTTTGTGCAAAATGTGAAGTAACAATGTAACATTGTGGATTTCTCTTATCTTTTTGGTCTCATTATTCTCCTTTAGTTTTCTTTTCATTTTATTTTATTTGGTTTGGAGCTTTACGTATATATTTTTTATTTCTTACCCAGTGTCCGAAATTCATATTTAATCCCCGACTAATTCGGATTCGCATTGTATAAGACGCATTACAAGAGAAAGTGTGACTCCCTAGGTGAATCCCACATAGGGGCGCGGAAGAGGGTTCACCCGAACCCTTTAGCCAAAAAATTACACTGTATATCTAAGGCAAAATTTATTTTTTACCTCTATATATTATGTTTTGAATCCCCTTGACACAGCCCAAAAGCATAGTTTAGTGGTCTAAGGGGTTCAAAATATTTGTAAGGTCATTGAGTCCAACAACAACAACAACAACAACCCAGTATAATCCCACTAGTGGGGTCTGGGAAGGGTAGTGTGTACGCAGACCTTACCCCTACCCTGGGGTAGAGAGGCTATTTTCAATAGACCCTCTGCATCCTTCCCTCCAAGAACTCCCCACCTTGCTCTTGGGGTGACTCGAACTCACAACTTCTTGGTTGAAAGTAGAGGGTGCTTACCATCAGAGCAACCCACCTAGTGATAAAACACAGGATAGATGCTTGGTATATAAGTAGACATGCCTTAGACTCTGGTGACGCATTTTAAAATTGTGCTGGTCTAGGCCCAAAGTGGACAATATCACTAGTGAACTAGGCTGTTATATATGGTATGATCAGAGCCACTCCGCGTGCAACCTTGAACGGTGGTGGGACAAATATCAACAAGGACGTTTAGTCCCCAAAGGAAGGTGTATGTAACACCCTAGGCGAATCCTACATCGACAAAATACGAGAGATATGTTGGGTCTATAAGTAGACAGGTTTTAGACTCTAGTGACACATTTTAAAACCGCACATGCCTAGGCCATAATCAGACAATATCACTAGTGGGTTGGGATGTTACAGCAACCGCCCCACCATGATCCTTTAATTTCTAATAATAACTTGTTTAAATGGTTGTTATGTATCGTATAGTATTGTATTGTATTGTATTGTATTGTACCATTTTGATGCATATAATAATTGAATAGATTATATTGTTTAATGTCGTTTCATGATATCATGCACCAACAATATAAAGAATAAACTTGCAAAATTACAAAGAAAAAGTAAGATATATACGAGGTTGAATTATTATATAAAAAGGTAGGGTAAAACATAAAATAGAATTATTTAATAATAAAGAAGGTCAAGATAAGAGAAAAAATAAAGTAACTGATGTGTGGCTATAATTCATGGTTTAGCACATTATTCGCCTTGCATGTTTTTACGCTTTAATGATAAAATACACCTTATTTGCGTGTAATAGGGTCCATTTTATGTGTAGCTGAATTGGAGATGAAAGTAGAAGAAAAAGGAGACCTACAAGTCGAAAGCGTGTGCGGGAGCAGTGAATGAGAGAACCTGGCGACGCCAGGCTTGAAGCTAGCGACGCAATGCTTGAAGCTGGCGTTAGGATGGCGACGCAAGACAAAGGCCAAGCAGAACCAGGCGTTAGGCTGACGATGCCAGGCTTGGAGCCAGGTTCATCAGGTGTTAGGCTAGCGACGCCAGGCCTGGGGCCAGGTCCAATTCGAGTTTTGAAGACTTAATTCGTTTTCGGGTTTGACTAGGACTTGGCCTACATGTTTAGGTCTTTTCCTACACATATAAATAGACCTAAAATACCACTTGAAGGGACTTTTGCAACCGGAGGCAAGGATAGCTCATAGAACAACCGACGGGAGTTAGAGTCAACAATTTCTACATCACTTTATCTTTATCTTGTACTTTAATTATGCAACATACTTTGGATATTATTACTTTGATCATGAGTAGCTAAATTCATAGTCTAAGGTTTTGATGGAACCTATCGAAGGATGATTTTCTTGTTACGTTAATATAAATTTGCCGTAGTATTTTTCTCTATTTGTTCAACTATATTATTCTTGTGGTTGATTGAAGGGCCCTAAATTAGTTGTGCTTATTTAGTATGTATTACTCGGTGGAGAGTGCATATTTAGGTAGTTGTTGAACAACATCACTCCTAAACGTATATGAGGGATCAATACGGAGGTTTAAAGGTAGGATTAGGGATAACGAAATATTGGTGCGATCTAAGTGAGCTGTACTTAATGCCAACTAGCGTAATTTGGGAGAATATGTCTAGTAAATTTTGATAATTATTAGGGAGAGAGTTACGACAGTTAGAGTGCTCATGGTCAATAGAGAAGACTTAGGCAAATTTGTAGAAAATGTAGCGGAAAAGATTCCGACAATAGGGAAAATCACAACCTTAGATCATTCTAATTCTTGTTTACAACCCGTTCATAGTTAGTTATTAATTATTATATTTTCATTACATAATATTTAGTTAATAAAAACCCAAATTGTTACTTAAATATTTCTGAAGATTGATTGCGTGAATTTGTGTGAGTCTAGTTGTTGTGTTTGATAGGTTAATTCCCTGTGGGATTCAACTCCGGACTTATTAGCTGGAATATATTTGCAATGACCGTTAAGTCCTTTTTATAAGGCATAGTTGGGCATGATCAAATTTTGGCGCTGTTGCCGGAGAATTAACGATGTTATTAATTGTAGCTAAAAGAAGTGCTAGAATTCTTAGTGTAGTCAATTTTCTTCATTCTAAACTAAATACATTGAAATTTTAATGTTTGTAGTCTTGGGTATTACAGGTGTATGCCTAGGAACTCCTCAAGAACTGGTGAATTGCTCGAAGTGTTATCAGATCCTGAGAAAGTTTTCAAGGTACTAAATCGTGCAAACAAGAAAAGGAAACAACAACGAAACTCGACAGAACAAATCGAACCAGACATGGCTGACGGAATAGAAAATCCAATCAACAACAGAAACAATGAGAATGAACCAAACAATCGGGGTGTGGTGCCTCTTGTACCAGAAATATCATTATATGATTGGGCACAATCCATCGCTGACAATCTGGCAACCGCAATTGCAGTCCCTCAGATACAAGCAGAATCATTCCAATTCATAAACAACATGCTACATTTGTTGCAGAACAAGGGAATGTTCTCAGGGTCACACATTGAAGATCCTCAGCAGCACCTGAAGAATTTCCTGTCGATATGTTTAACGCAAAGGCAACCTAACGTGACACCGGACGCAATAAAGCTTTTGTTGTTCCCATTCTCAGTGACAGGAGAAGCTCAGACTTGGCTTAATTCACTCCCCATAAATTCTATCACTACTTGGGAGGAATTAGTCAAGCAATTTTTGAACAAATTCTACCCACCAAATAAAACTGCCCAACAAATTTATGATATATTGAGCTACAAGCAGAGACCAACTGAATCACTACAAGAAACGTAGGAGAGGTTCAAGTGCATGCTGGTTAAGTGTCCACATCATGGTATTCCAGATCAGATGTTGGGGCAGAGATTCTACATGGGACTGGCTGACAGCTTAAAGGCCAATGTTGATGCTTCAGCAGGTAGAGAATTTCTAAGTAAAACGTTCACGGAATGCAAGATCCTACTTGATAAGATGGCCCAAAACTCAGGATGGATGACAAGAGCCTCTACGATCACTCTAGTAGTTCACTTAGTGGTTTTGGACCCAAATAACTCCATAGCTGAGAATGTGGCCACTCTAATGACACAAATGAGTATCATCACCCAAAAGATTGATGAATCAGGCCAGAAGCAGCAGGTTCACATAGTTGACAAAACTAATGGGGGCTTATGAACATCATGCATTAACCAACCATATGTTTGCTCGTGGAGTACGGAAGGTGACAACCTGCAATATCAGGAAGATATGAATTATGTAGCCAACTATGGGGGACAGAGGCAAGGTGGTCAGAATTAGGGTCAACATAATCAACAATATAGACCGGCGCAGCAGCAGTACAATAACAACAACAATCTTGGAGCTATGCGACCACTGGGTCAAGTTGCGCCTTACCAAAGGCAACAGGGCTACATACAGCAAAATCAGTAGCTGATTTATCAACAACCTCAACAACAACAGATTATGAGACCAGATGATGGGTTTACTAAACTTGAGGGAATGCTAGACAGCAACAATAGAATGCTGCAACAATTGATTGGATCCACGAGAAAAATGCAACAGAGGGTAGACTCGCATGAATCAGCGATAAAGGGTATTGAGATTCAATTAGGACAGATTTCTATGGCCCTAAACAATCATCCCCAAGGGACATTACCTGCATATACACAAGTCAATCCAAAAGAACATGGCCCGAAACAGCTTATGGCAGTGAGTCTACGAAATGGAAGAGACCTAGATCTGGAGCAAGAGATGGCTCGTGAAAGCCGGCCTACTGAAACACTTGTGCCAGTACCCATCGAGATAGATGACTCAACAGGGTTAACAGAGGTGACGGTACAACATGCGCCAACTTAAACAAGCAAAGAAAAAGAAGTCGCGAAGGAAACTGAGTCAGAGCAAGAGAAGGCAGTAGAAACAGTGCCAGAGCAGGTTCAAAATCAAATCACAGGAAAGAAGCGCCTCAAGCACCCTTCCCCCAGAGATTGGCCAAATATCAAAAGGATGAGCAATATAAGAAATTCTTTGAGATGTTGAAGCAAATTCAGGTGAACATTCCATTGATTGACGCCTTAAAGGAAATGCCTGGTTATGCAAAAATGATGAAGGACTTGATGTCTCGTAAGTTTGACTTTCAAGACTTGGCCACGGTTACACTGACTCAGACATGTAGTGTTGTTGTGACAAG